ATAACTGCTCTCTGAAGATTACTAAGAAAAACCACCAGCACTACTGAGAACTGTTTCCGAAAGTTAACAAAATGTGATGTCTGCAGTTTCCAAACTGACCACAGTGTTAAGCCACACCCTTTGGATTTGGTTACCCCTCCCTATAAAAGCCATACTGCCTTAGCGGCTGAGCCATTCTCATTATCTTCACATAAGGGTAGTTTCCCTATTGCAATAGACTAAATAAAAGCAATTTTAACTTGTCTGTTTCTTCGACAGGATTGATGCCATGACTCAAAATGGGACCATGCCTTCAGATCTCCATCTACTCCACCCAGGTAATAAGGACACTTGGAGCCTTTGTGCTCCATTTGTGACTGGCAATCCAGGGACCTAAAGGTGAGCCCTACTCCTAATTTGATGTTCCAGACTCTTGTCTGTTGGTGGCATGGTAGGAATTTAATTTTCATTGAGTATGCAGTTGATCTCTAGTGTGTGTGTGTGTGTGTGTGTGTTTAGGGAGTGACTTGGTAATCTCTGTAAATGAATTACATGGTTTGCAGATATTGTGTCTCTGTTAGGTTAGAAAGACGTCAGAAAATTTGGTCTGTTATTTTTATTTGTTTATCTAGTTTTTCTCTATTTTGAGTTCAAATCAATTAAGAATTTTGACACAGTGGAAAGAAAAGAGCCCCCTCCACCACTTGTTTTTTTTTTTTGAAACAAGTGAGTTATGTATTTCTGTATTATGCCCGATCTATGGCTGAGGTTTTAGAATTAAAATGATAAGTTCTCTAGATCTGTATGTATATTTATATATCTGTGGGTATGCTAATATTTTCCTGCCTCCAGATGGCATTACTAAATTAGATTATAAAATTTTTAAAGGCTCTATTTTCTGATTGACTTAGAGCTAAATAAGGTCTTATGTAAATAAAATACTCAAAAATTTCTGGAAATCAAGATAATTGCATTTCTGCTTTCGATACTCTTATAGATACTTGCTCAAATATTCTAAGAATTTACATTCACATAATTTTGGTACATTTTGGCAAATGAGATTAGCTTTATATTGTTGGTTTAATTAAAGCAGCTGTGTCTTCTGAGTTCTCGGTATTAGGTAATACACAAGCATACATTTTAATTTACTTGGGCATGGTCTTCCTCAGCTTATACAGGTTTCTTGGTTTAACAATCTATCATTTTAGTTACTATATGTTTTATAATTACAAAAATATAAATTTGCACTTAGTTAAATTGAATCACTGTTTTGACAAATGTTAATTCAAAAGTAACTAATTACATTTTATAGTGTGTCAGCTTGGCTCAAAACCAAGATATTTTGATAACATAAAACTTTAGACTGATGCTAAATATAGTGAATTAATAGGCATTTATTAGATACCTAGATTATCTAACTAGAATAAAATACTAAGCATTAATTACTAAGTATAATTTTCTTCTCACAGACTTTTTGCCTCTTGTTATATAATACAGAGAGTCTATATATTTGGGTGTGTTAATAAACATGTTTATTTTTTGCTATAGTGAGTTGTATTATAGGGATATTTATTACTGTAAGGATTATAAGATGTATATTCATAAGCTCTGCTAGTCTGCTATAAAATAGCATGTATGAAAGATAGTTTACAATCATCCACGGAAAAAGTCTTTTCCCTTAACCAAACTTGAGCCAGGCTCCTTGGAGCATTCTTCCTAAGTAAACTTTGACCTTGGCCTGACCAGCCCAGTTTTAGCAAAGATTCCTGCTTAGCCAATTTATCAAGAATGTACTAATTCTTGATATTGGACTACTCAGTATTTGATCAAGTTTCTCACTCTCCACTCTTGATATCTTGGCCTGCCTGTCAAAAGTAGTTTTATTATTAATAATGTTGTTAATTCATAGTTTTAATATTGAAAATAATTAAGCCAGTTTAGCAAGAATCCCTCTACCTTTGATATCTAGTTAAATTCTTAGTAATTTTCCATCCACTTACTGCCTTGCTCTATTCCTTGGCTACAAATCCATAGCTGTCTTTGCTGTATTAGAAGTTGAGCTCAATTCCATACAGAAACCTCTCTCCCTTACTGCAGCATTTGAATAAGATCTATCTGGTTGTTTTAATACATATCAAATGAGTAACTTTTCTTTTATACTATCTCCAAGATTTCTCTATGGAATAGGAGTTACTGTAGTTAAAAGTTATAATCAGTATAAGTGAATGAGATGAATGAGACTCTAATAGAAGTAACTGTGGCAGAGAGGAACACTGTAAGTGCAAGGTATGCAGGATATTTTTTGTTAAGTAAAACAAGAGTAATTTTTTTTCTGAAGTAAAATAAGTAGTTATTCCAGTATGAGAAACAGAAAAATATAGGGCCAAACCTTACTGAACCCTAACTAGATAGAGAAAACTCTAGAAGGTTCATGGATAGGAAGTTTTATTTCTTGTAGTTATAGCTGGCTAAAAAGTTCAATGGGTTTATTTACAAAATTTTTAATATAAGCGTTAATATTAAATATGCAGATGCAAAACTAGAATTTGATTTTTTCTCTATTAAAATATTTTTTCTTGGATTAGTATATTCTCTTAAAAAGAGCTTGTAGGGCCGGGCGCGGTGGCTCAAGCCTGTAATCCCAGCACTTTGGGAGGCCGAGGCGGGTGAATCACAAGGTCAAGAGATCGAGACCATCCTGGTCAACATGGTGAAACTCTGTCTCTACTAAAAATACAAAAAAAATTAGCTGGGCATAGTGGCGCGTGCCTGTAATCCCAGCTACTCAGGAGGCTGAGGCAGGAGAATTGCCTGAACCCAGGAGGCGGAGGTAGCAGTGAGCCAAGATCAAGCCATTGCACTCTAGCCTGGGTAACAAGAGCGAAACTCCGTCTCAAAAAAAAAAAAAAAAAAAAAAAAGAGCTTGTAAAATATATTTTTCTTTACCTTCTGAGTAATCTGCTTAGAAGATAAGCATTCAGAATCTCATCAGAATCATTTCCTGTGCTTTGTTCTGACTTTTTAAAGTCCTTGATCATTTAAGACAAATGTCTTCATATAAAAGAGATGAAGTTCTTTGCAATTATGCTATCTCCTATATCCACTCTAAAAATTATTTTACATCATTTTGATTAAATAGATAACCAAGTACTCTTTCTCAGTAATCCATTATCCTACTTGATTAAGTATTCAAATTTCCTGACAATGTTTTATATTTTACCTTCTGAAAATCAAATCCTAAATGATACTTTTTTACACTGTCAAAGGAAACAAGTGTACAAATCTGAAGTAAAGAAAACATTACTAGGGGAGAATCTTGAAATAGAAAGATGCTCAAGATCTAAGCCAGGAACGTCTCAGGCATGGAATGAGCAAACATAGCCTTTGTGTGCAAAGACCTTGGGAGGTATGCTTATGGAAAATGGAAGGGGGTTTGAGGCTATGTGTATGTGTATGGCAGGGGTGGGGGACTGTGGGGAGGTGGGGGATGATGCTGAAACATACTGGGCTACATCAAATATTGGTAGCAGAGAAGTTAAGGCAGGAAGATTGGTTTGTGGTTAGGCACATGGAGTGAGATTCTGGGTCTAGGACAGAGCAAACAAATTAGAATGCTGGAGGAGGTTCATATAGAGTGAAGAACCTAGTAGTTTGGGCAAACCAACCTACAGTTATGTTAAAGACAGAGTTAAATCGCCCTATCAGTCCTCCACTCTTGTTCAAGAAAGGCTCAGAAAAAGTGTCCTTGAACAGAGAGACAGGAGAATCTCAAGTAGGAAATGGCTGAGTAAAATAGTCCCCAGGTCAGATTTGCTCAGTGTTGTTCCTGGAGGACTAGTTGAACCATCTGTTGGGCATGCTGGCAAAGGTCAGTTGTTTTAGTGCCCTTCAGATCAGGCATCTTAAAAGTGGGATGCCTAAAAGGAAAAAAGAAATGGTAATGTAAAAGGATATACTAAAGTGAGAAAGATAGAAGTTGAATCCAATGGTAACTATTCCAGGGAGTTCCACGAGGTTAGTGGATGAACTCTTTTGATCATGCAGCATTGCTCTTTGAGCGTTTTGATGATCTTGGTAATGTGACCCAGAGTCTGTGTTACCTCTTGTATCAGAACATGCATGACCTGGGCGTTTCCCCATACTTCTTTTGTGTTCCAGTCAGGGCTTGTCCAGAGGAAAAGAGAACCCATGCATAGTGTGCTAGCAATGATGGGTCCTTACAGGTTTAAAACAAGTCATCAGACTTGAGCTTGCAGTAATTCTTCAGAGCCTGGGGGCCAGCCACAAGGCAACATAGGGTCTGAGTTGGGATCTGGATAGTAAGGTTTTCTCAGTGACTATGAGTAAAGAGAAAAGGAGAAAAATTGGAAGGTTAGTTTAGGGATATATGGCTAGATATTGAGGGAAATTGGAAGATTTGAAAATTTAGTAAAAATTGACAATTTGTGTAAGATAGCACATTCAAGTACAATTTATTAGTAGTTACAAAAACTGGTTTTCCCATAGGGTGAGGGAAAGCCAATTAAATCTCTACCAGACAAGAGACAGTTTGCGTATCTATCAGTTACATGCAATTTGCAAAGAGGCACTATCTAGCTCAAACACAAATAAACAGAATCAGAATCTGATAATCTAGAAGGATGTGCTATGATTTCCCATGGAAACACAAGTTTCTTTCTACAGGTACTCTTACCCTTTTGATCAAAGATAATCTCAAAGAAAGATTGTTTTTGATCACTAATTAAGATTGGGCTCATGAGATTTGGCCTGGTTATTTGCATAGGTACAGTAACAGTGGAAATTTGCATATTGATCTTCTTATATTTGCTTTGCTGGAAGTTTTCATAAAGAATATCAAGTTGGACTTTTCAAAGCCTCTTGAGGATGAGAAGCCAAGTCAAAAACTCACATCGAATTTCACATGCAGTACCTATTGATTTGGCGGGCATTCCTTTTTTTTTGAGATCCCACAAATATCCTAAGTTTCCAGAGCCTGCTGGGAAATGACATTCCTTGCTCACCTGCAAAGCTGTGAACCCTGCAAAGCCAGGTTTCAAGCCAGTTTTCACAAGAGGCTCTTTCGAAGCATTGGTCCCATAAGGTCGACTTGAGTTCCTTAAAAGCGACTGGTCATATCTGATCGAATAAGCATCATTCTCAAATATGAGATCCAGGCAAAGCTTTGGTTGTATTACCAAAGATTTTGTTCGTGTCCTGTTAACAAGGAGGACAGACTCTTATGGAATCTATGCAAATAACTATATTGCCATGAAGATAAGACTCAATGAGAATTTCCAAATTTTGAAAGGGTGAGCTGAGGAGAAAAATATACAAGTTTCATTTCTGTTTACAAGGAATGAGCATAGTCCTTAAAATTATTATGAGTGATAGATAGCTTAAAAAAGAGGAGGGGGTTATTTATGTCCAGAAAATAGAACATTAAAGCCATAGCCCTATTCCAAAAATGTCCCATAATTATCCATCATCAGTTTATTCACTCCTATGTAATTAGTTTTTGTCCCACCTGATTCAGGATTAGTAGACTTATGAACCCATCTCTTTCTCAACTAGAGTTCTGGAATTCCTGACTCAGTTCATTGTTTTGGTCCCAAAGTTATTTAAGCAATGTAATTAGAAACTTTTACACAAGAGTACATAGCATAATTCTTTTCCATGTGTCTCTGAGTCAGTCCTTTCTCATTGAAACAAAGTCCTCTGGCCTGTAACAGATTTGCAAGTGTTTGATGGAAAGCATTGGTGAAAAACACAGAACCATCCATAGATGACAAAAGATTTAAAATTGCTGGGATTAACATATTCTTGATAATTTTTGAAAGTAAAAGATGTGATGAAAATTTGCTATAAAAATAATATAATTGAAAAATTTAATTCTTGTTATGGCACTTAAAATTGCTTCAAAAGGTTTCCGAGAAAATATGTGTAAACATAATTAATTTTATTTTCAAAAAAAGGTGGATATTATATCGAATTTATGAAAATGAATGAGGGCCGGGCGTGGTGGCTTAAGGCCCGGGTGTGGTGCCTGTAATCCAAGCACTTTGGAGGCCAAGGTGGACCGATCATCTGAGGTTGGGAGTTCAAGACCAGCCTAACCAACATGGTAAAACCCCATCTTAAAAAAAAAAAAGAAAGAAAGAAAGCGAATGGGCATCATTTTTATAGAAAAAAAATTTAGATATAACATGATTGGATGGGCACGGTGGCGCACACCTATAATCCCAGCACTTTGGGAGGCTGAGGCAGGCAGCTGGAGACCAGCCTGACCAACATGGTGAAACCCTGTCTTTACTGAAAATATAAAATTTAGCTGGGTATAGTGGCAGACATCTGTAGTCCCAGCTACTTGGGGGGCTGAGGCAAGAGAATTCCTTGAACCCGGGAGGCAGAGGTTACAGTGAGCCGAGATTGCGCCAATGCAGTCCAGCCTGGGCAAGAGTAAGACTCCATTTCAAAATAAATAAATAAATAAGAGATATAACATGATTATCATGAGACATTATATGTCATGAATATATCAAACATATAGTTAGAATATGCCAAGAATATATTTCAATTATCAAGCAAAGAGATTCAGTATATTTGTATAAGTTTAAGAAAAAACTATTCAGGTAGAACAAAAATGAATTCTTATGATGTGGACAACTCAAAAGACATAGTCATGTTTATCAAATCAATTATATCAAGCTACTCTCAATGGCCAAAGGTTTATCTAAATTAGATGAACTTGAATTTTTTAAAACATTTTGTTAAGCTTTTATAAATATACTTTTTTCACATTGATAATACTAGAAATTTGATTTTCCTAATTTCAGGGAAGTTCAAGAATATTTGACTTATGTAGGGTCTCATTCATCTCTAAGCAAATCCCAGAGGAGCTTATTTAAAGGATTTTATAATTTAATGTGGTAAAACCATCTGGAGGGAAGAAAATATTACACAAAAGATTTGTGCACATGCACAAACACACATACATTAACATATAGACAGACATAGTGAAATTACAGCTTTAGCTTTTAAATTTTAGTCCTGACTTAGGCATAATCACAGAAATACAAAACTCACTGGTTCATATGAAAAAACAGTACCATCATTGCCTCACCTTTATATTTTTACAAGGGTAACATTTTTGGTAGATGGGGCAAGTTGAGGTAACCTGTACAATATGAGAACTGAGGTATCTTCACTAATATTTGTGTAGGAGACCCATAAGCTGCCTTTAGCTCTGCTGTATAATTCTAGGGAAGCCATACACTCAATTTCGGGGTGGGGGCCTGGAGGAGAGACCAGGCTGTCATCTGGTGTCTCCAAAGCCCACCTCAGTAGCTAAAACATTCAGCCTGTTTCCGGGAGCCTTTTCAGCCTCAGGCTGTTGCTCTCAGCAACCCTGAGCTCCTCTAGAGCCTCCCACGAAGGGACAGGACTTAAAGCTCAAGGGATTATAAGGAATTGAGGGGCCAGAGTGGGAGAGGAAAGGCCTGGCATGCGTGGACAGAAAGGTGGAGGAGACAGAGGGGTTGAAAGAGAAAGATCCAAGGATTAAAGGGAGCTGAAGGGAACATGGAAGATGGTAGGAAAGAGAGATCAGGGGTAGGTGCTGAGAGGACACAGGTCTCAGAAAGTGTTGGGGAAGGAAGATTGTCTTTGAAGGAAGCAATGGTCACTGAAAAGTTTTTGAGAGAAAGAATTTTTTTTCTGTTTCTTTGTACTAAATGCCCACCACCAACAACAAAGCATCTATTGCCTGAATGAGATCTTGGTGGCACAGGATTCAATAGCCCTTTACAGAAGGAAACAATTTGGAAAAATTCTTCATTCCCCAAAGAGGTCACCGAAATTTAAGTTTAGAAATATTGCGCCCTGCGCGCCCCCCCCCCCAACTTTTTTTTTTAAGAAAGTGGTTGGAATTATTACTATAATAACAGAGCATATCCCACTGTTGAGGGGTCTGGAGAACAACAGCCAAATTGATGGTTATCTCATGATAATGGGAAGAACACCTGCCAGTGCTAGAGACCTAGGGCCTTTAACTCAGGTATGATTATCAGGAGAGAGTTAGGGGCTTTTCACCACTCTCAAAAAAGGCAGGAAGAAAAGATAGAAAAACAGAAGGAAATGACAAAAATGAGAGAACTCTAGGTCAACTTCTCACTGTGCTACCACAGACAGATGTCTGGAACACTGGATTAGAAGTCATGACTTACCACTGTGGATTCTGATTTCCCCAGCCAAGGAAAGGCACGAGGAGTCCAATAAGGCAGCACTGGGTGAAGAAAGCAGGAGCCAGGGGCAGTTGGCATTTTGTCCAAGTCATGGCATCATTACTGTCGAAGAAAAGAAGTTTAATCTGGACATGAGTCTAGAAAAACTTTCTTAAGAGGAGGCGTATCACAATAGGAGTGGGGCAGTATCATAACAGAAAAATGCTCAAATTCTAATTCAGAGAAGGGATGAGTGAGCAATGATTTTAAAACACCTGTGGAGAGTTGAGGTGTGAAAATCTGGGGGTGGGAGGGGATTCTTAAAACTTAACAAACATCCCCAAACACTGTATGAATAGGAGAATTGAGACAGGATATGTTGGTTTGTGGTCAGACACACGGGGCAGGCTTTGCACCCAAAATGGAGCGAATAAGCTAAAGTGAGAAATTCAGATAAAGCAGAGTTAAAACAGATAAAGCCTGTTAGTCCTCTGCAAAACAGTAAAAAGTTGTTTTGGCTACTAGTCAAGCACTTCTTCAATTCTTCTCAGCCTCCCCAGTGTCCAAAATGGCCTTTGAGATTTCCCAGAGGACCTCTGGAAAGTCTCAAAAATGTGTTCTTTCACCATGGGAAAAGACAAGAGTTGGACTAGTTAAGGTTATTTGTTTAATATGTTATCACTGACAAGATGTCTGGGAAGCATTGTCAAATCAGAAGAGAGGCTCAGATTTGCAGAGGTTTAATTTGTCCGGGGAAAATGTTATTAACATAAACATTTTTAAATGTGTATTCTACGTAAGAAGTTTCCGGAGAATTGTGAATGTGTTTTTTTCTTGACAGTGTTAAGTGTTTATCAAGTTACATTTCTCCAGCTAGTAGGATAACAGATGTGTCACTGGCACTTGGACCTCATCCTAGGGGATGTTTACTGGGAATTCCCAATTACATCACAAGCCAAAGACTTCCAGCATGTTCATCTTTGCCCAGGTCATTTGGTTTTTCATGGACCACCATTGTGGAACGGCCTCCTGAGAGTGAGATCATAGAATCTTTGATGGACACATCCGTTGCACCATCTTTACCAGCAGTCACATTGTCCAGGTCTTCGACATTCCTCTCTTGATCCTTTAGCCCATGTGCTTTTGGGATAGAGGATTAAAGTGAGGACCTGCACTGGTACATCCTTGTATATTATTTTCAAATTGATGAACATAGAATCTGCTGGCCTTCAGCCAATCCTGTAATGTGTACCACCACCCCAGTTAGTCCAATTTCCTTCTGCTTGATATGGATAATTCTCTGTACCAGGCCTTCATCCCTCAGCATGCACACAGCTTTCATCCCCCTGACTGATGGGGCCATGCTCCTGTCTGGGTTCTGAGGATTTCTAGGGAAACAGGAGATACTATAGGAGATGACCATGTGAACCCCAGAATTGTTAATATTTTCACTGTTTGTGATATATTTCTATTTATCGGACTCCTGGTGTTGCTTTGCTTGATGTTAGATAAAAGCAGTATTTTATCCATCATAATTTGTTATATTTTAAAACTTTAACTTGTTTGCAACTTTACTTCTTTGATTTGGAACCAGTATATTCTAGGTCTGCAGTTTTCTGTTGGGGATTTACATCACTTATCTGTGCATTTGTATTAATACTCTCATGTTTATAATCTACAGATTTACTGATTCTATTTATTTGATAACTTTGATATAGTTTTAGTAAATTCTAATGGTGTGCTAGGCATATGGCATCTAATGGCTCAAGATCTTTATGTTATATATGAAAATGTTTTCTTTTTAAGGTTATATATAAGCATTTTTATAAATTAAATGTGATATAGCCTCTTTGAAAATATTGCCAATACATTGCATTTATAGATATTTTGTCTAAAATGTTTTTTGGATTGAATTTATTTTGTTTTGCATAGCAGAAACAACCAAATGTGTTTGTCAATTGCATTATTCCTATAATGAACTCTACTCAGATTATTCACTTTTGAAAATTATCTGTAATATGTAAATTATAGCCATTTTTAGACTTTTGTCATCTACAGATCGTTTTGTTTGTTCTGTTTTACACTGATGCTTCCATAAAATCATTGCAATTAATTATGGGCTAAGGTTTTCTATCTTCAGCAAAAAAAGAACAATATTAGAATCTGGTAGAAAAGGATCATGCCGGCCGGGCGCGGTGGCTCACGCCTGTGATCCCAGCACTTTGGGAGGCTGAGACGGGTGGATAACGAAGTCAAGAGATTGAAACCATCCTGGTCAACATGGTGAAACCCCGTCTCTACTAAAAATACAAAAAAAATTAGCTGGGCACGGTGGCTCATGCCTGTAATCCCAGCTACTCAGGAGGCTGAGGCAGGAGAATTGCCTGAACCCAGGAGGCGGAGGTTGTGGTGAGCCGAGATTGCGCCATTGCACTCCAGCCTGGGTAACAAGAGCGAAACTCCGTCTCAAAAAAAAAAAAAAAAAAAAAAAAGAAAGAAAAAAATAAAAAAAAGAAAAGGATCATGCCATGTACTCTGGGGAACAGATTTCTGATGGCATTGTTTAAATGACTATGAAATCATACCACGGACTGAGTCAGGAGTTACAGATTTCTAGTTGAGAAGCAGATGCATTAATAAAACAAGTAACACAAGATCAAGTGGAAGAAGAGTTAATTTTATAAAATTGAATGAGCAAATGATTATGATTTTTATTTGAAATAGTGTTCATGTTTTATTGTTCTATTTTCTGGAAATAAGAATTTCTTTTCTTTTTCTCTTAAGCTAACACTTAAACAATTTTATAGACTGCTTGTTCCTTTTAGACAGAAATGAAACCTGTATTTTTTTTTCTCCCTGACTCCCCCTTTCAAAATTTAGAAACTGCAATTGAGTCTTCTTATCTTCATGGCAATATAGTTATTTGCATAGATTCCATAAGAGTCTGTCCTCCTTGTTAACAGGACACGAACAAAATCATTGGTAATAAAACCAAAGCTTTGCCTGGATCTCATATTTAAAAATGATGCTTATTTGATCAGATATGACCAGACGCTTTTAAGGAACTCAAGTTGACTTTATGGGGTCAATGCTTTCAAAGCGCCTCTTGTGAAAACTGGCTTGAAACCTGGCTTTGCAGGGTTCACAGCTTTGCAGGTGAGCAAGGAATGTAATTTCCAGCAGGCTCTGGAAACTTAGGATATTTGTGGGATCTCAAGAAAAAAAGGAATGCCCGCCAAATCGATAGGTACTGCATGTGAAATTCGATGTGAGTTTTTGACTTGGCTTCTCATCCTCAAGAGGCTTTGAAAAGTCCAACTTGACATTCTTTATGAAAACTTCCAGCAAAGCAAATATAAGAAGATCAATATGTAAATTTCCACTGTTGCTGTACCTATGCAAATAACAAGGCCAAATCTCATGAGATTAACCTTAATTAGTGATCAAAAACAACCTTTCTTTGAGATTATCTTTGATCAAAAGGGGAGGAGTAACTGTAGAAAGAAAATTTGTGTTTCTGTGGGAAATTATAGCACATCCTTCTGGATTATCAGATTCTTATTCTGTTTATTTTTGTTTGAGCTATATAGTGCCTCTGTAAACTGCAGGTAACTGATAGACATGCAAACTTTGTAGCTAAGCTTTCTCTCTCATTGTGGAAATTTCAGTTTGGTATTTACCTTGCACAGATTGTTAACCTTGCACAGACTGTCAACCTTTACCAGATTTTCAATTATTCCCGTTTCCTTCAGCATCCGGCTACAAACTAACAGCCTTGAAAAGAATGATTCCATTTTATTTCTACCTCTAGACTTGTAGTCACTCGGAACTAAAATCTGACTGCCTAGATCTTTATTGACGCTCTAGGTTGCCCTGTTACTGGTCTTTACCCCCTAGGACTTGAAGAATCACTGCAAGTTCAAGTCTGAGGATTTGTTATAAGCCTAGAAGAACTTATTATCATTCCAGCTAACCATTCATGTTCCAACTATCTCTATGGATAAGCTGCTCTTTGGACTACTCAGAAAGTTTGGTAAAATGCTCAGGTCATGCACGCCTTTATTGGATAAGTGACCAGTGCTGTGGATGACATCACCAATATGATCAACATCTTCAAAAACTCAGTGAGTGGTGGGAGAGTGAATAAATATACAAACAGAAAATTGTCAAGCCATATATAAAAATGCAACTTTGACCTCAACTTCTGTAACAACCAGCCTGATAGCCCAACCACAACCTCTTCAACATCAGTAAGGACCTAGTCAATAATTGCCAGATTCTGTAATTTTTGCTTGTATGTCTAACTTAGAACCTTTCACAGGAAGCCAAATTCGCACTCCTAACACATCACATAGGATGATCCACTTCTAGTTAGCCTGTTTCTACTTTCCCCATGCCAACAGCCTCCAATTAGGCATACCTAATGCCTTCCCTTTTTCTACTGTACAGCTTTCCCATCACTCTACCTGCATTTGAGTCTCTGCCAAACATAATTGGTGATTGGTGACTCTTTCATTTAGCAAGCTCTGAATAAATAACATTTGTTTGTTCTCATTTGAGTGATTTTTATTTATTTCCACAGTTTTCTTGGGAATTCCATCAAGAAGGTCTGCTCTGCCTATCACCACAGACTCTAGTCTTCAGCTGGGGCAGAACCCCCTGTGCCTTACTATTTGCCACTTGTCAAGTCCACAATGATATTGGCAAGTCAGCACCAGGTCTGAACTCTACTCTCTTTGTGGTGAGTTCTTTGGCTATTTATTCTGTTTGATACCCTGGTTTTGTTATCCCTTACCATTTGTTTGGCATTTTTGGCAAAACCAAGCCCTTCTTTTCATCCTTTTTTTGTTATGTGTTCATTTGTGTTACTCTTTTGTGTTGCACTCACTAAAAGTGTAGTTTGTTATAAGGAGAATCACAGGGTAGAACACTGGCATGGGCCTTTTAAGGCTATTGTTAGTACCAGCCTCAGATGCCGATGAGTTTTAGTTCCTAACTCAACTACCATCTTTTAATCAATTCTGCCTAACACCATTAGCTTCACTGTCATGGATCTTTGCTTGGCCTTTCTTGAGTGTGTCTGTAGACCAGAATATACCCTTTTGCCTTCCTCTGGGGAGAACAACAATATACCTGGACATCCATGCCTCAGAGGTTCACTGAAACCTCCTTCTATTTTTCCCAGGTCTTTAATTAAAATTTATATGATTTATGAATTTCTTTTGTGGTTCTGTTCTGATACAATATATAGATGATCTCTTACTTTGTTCAGGAAACGAGGAGGTCTATAAAAAGGTTCCCATGTACTTGCTCTCAGCCCTAGCAGAAAAAGAACATAGTATTTCAAAGAAATAATGTAAATTTTCCAGAACACAACCCATTATTTGGGGCATGACCCATTTAAGAAGGAAAAAACATTCTCTCCTTTTAGATAAAGACTATTAAAACTATTTCTAGACCCTTTTCGAAGTGGCAACAGAGAGCTTTTCTGGATATGACTAGATACTGCAGACAATGGGAACCAACTTTTTTCTGGGATTGCAATATCTCTTTATAAATTGGCTAAGTCCCAAGTAAAAGACCCTCTGATCTGGGAACTCAAACATGAGCAGGTCTTCTGTAATCTGAGGAAGGCTCTTCAATAGCCTCCTTTCTTAGACATCCCTAACTATTGTACAAAAAGCTATACCATTAATTTTTACAAGAGTGTTATGGACATGCCCTTAGGGTTTTAGCTCAGTTTCACGGTATTCATGAAAACCCTATTGCTCACCACAGCCTCAATTTTGACTCAGTTGTTATGGCTTATCCTTCTTGACATAGGACAACAGGTACAGCTACAAAACTTTGCAGTGCTTGTGCTGAATTAGTTCTAGGCTCTCTGCTTGACGTCATGGTTCCTCATGAAGCACAGACATTATTATTGACTGAGTATACATAACACATTTTGCCAACTTACTAGCATCTAATACTCTGTCTTCCTCTCACATTACTATTTATCTCTGCAACATGCTGAGTCCTACCACTCTCTTGCCCCACCTGAAATAAGTGCAGCATTGTGACTATCTAATTTCAGTTAGGGAACTTTATTTGCCTCACTCAGATATATTAGAGAATCCACTGGGAAACCTGATCTAATATTTGTTGATGAATCATATCTCAAAACTGAAACTAGAAGTTAGCCAATAAACAGGATGTGCCGTCAATAATTTAAGAAGATAGGCTTTTGGAATGTAGTCCTCTACTAGAATTAAAATCACCCAGATTGCAGAACTTCTTGCACTTACTAGTGTTCGTCAACTAGCTAAATTCCAGAGAGAAAGTAAATAGATAGATGGATAGGTGGATAGAGAGCAGATATGCTTTTGGAGTAGTAGATGACTTTGGTATGCTTTCAAGACAAGGGGGCTTCTTATGTCTGTTGGGACCCTTCTAAAAATGGACAATAAGTAAAATAACTTTTAGATGTATTCCTACTATCTACAGAGATGACTGTAAATCATCTCTGTTGGAACTTACAGGAAGAGAGACCACTTAAAGGAAATACTCAAGCAGATCATTATGCTCCACAAGCTAAACCCTCAAAGGATAAATCTCCAGTAAACTGTGAAAAGGAAGAGTGGAAAAATTCTGATTCTACTCTTCATTGATATAATCTCTGGAATGCTCAAGGTGGTTGCTTATGGCACCAGATCATTTCAAGTGGATGTTAACAAAATTTCTTCATGAGACTACTCATCATGGAATAGAAAAATGGATTAGTATTTTTAATCACCATTAGTAAGAAAACTTTAAAAACAAGCTGAGGTTATTTTCAGGTTATGTGTCACCTGTCAGCCACATAATCCTGGAAGAAATTGTAAAGAGTAATCATGGTCAGGACCCAATGTCTCACTTTGAATATCTTCAGGTGAATTTTATCCAGCTTACAACCTCTGTGGAATTTAAATTTGCTTTAGTTATTGTACATCTATTTTCAGGAGGGCCTATAGCATATCCTTGCTGAAAAGCTATAACCCTCACAGACATCAAAAAAGCTGCTTGACTTTGTGTTTTCAACCTGGGATGTCCCAAATTTTATATCGAGCAATTGGACACTCCCTTAAGAAAAGCCATTATAAAAGAACTCAGTAAAACACCAAATCAAAATTACAATGAGATAACATTTCATGCCATTCAGAATGGTGATTATTAAAAAAATCAAGAAACAACAGATGCTGGTGAAGCTGTGGAGAAATAGGAACACTTTTACATTGTTGTTGGGAATGTAAATTAGTTCAATCATTGTGGAAGACAGTGTGGTGATTCCTCAAGGATCTAGAACCAGAAATACTATTTGACCTGGCAATCCCATTACTGGGTACATATCCAAAAGAATACAAATCATTCTACTATAAAGACACATGCACACATATGTTTATTGCAGTACTATTTTACAATAACAAAGACACGAAACCAACCCAAATGCCCATCAACGATAGGCTGGATAAAGAAAACATGGTACACATATACTATGGAATGCTGTGTAGCCAGAAAAAGGAATGAGATCATGTCCTTTGCAGGGACATAGATGAAGCTGGAAGCCATCATCCTCAGCAAACTAACCCAGGAACAGAAAACCAAGTAGCATATGTTCTCACTCATAAGTGGGAGTTGACCAATGAGAAGATTATGTCAATACATGAACACAGCGGGGGAAACAACACACACTAGGGCCAGTTGGAGGTCAGGGGGTGAGGGAAGAGAAAGCATTAGGATAAAGAGCTAATGCATGTGAGGCTTAAAACCTAGATGACGCATTGACAGGTACAGCAAACCACCATGGCACACGTTTACCTATGTAGCAAACCTGCAGGTTCTACACTTGTATCCCGGAATTTAAGATAAAAATTTTTTTAAAAGTTGCATTGTCATTTTTGCCACATTGTATTAATCAAAGCAAGCTACAAAGCTAGCCCAGATTAAAAAGAATGGGGAGAGAACTCGAAGACAGATAAGATGAATGGCAAAGTCACATTGAAGTATAGCAGCGTCCACTGGAATAGGAAAACTAAGGGAAATTTTAAAAGTCTAACATGAGCTTATAAGGAATTTGAATTTTATCTTTTAGTGATTGAGGCATCTCTAAAAGATATTAAACAGGGGAGTTATATGGTTAAGGTTTTATTTTAGAAAGGTAACTAAGAAGGTAGTATGGAAGATAAACTGAAGAGAGAAAAGATTTAAGATAGGCAAAATGTATTTAAAAGACTAATAAAATAGTCTAGGGATAGAGTTAGGGATGACAGAGGCTTGAACAAAGATTGAGGAGATAGCTTACAGATTTTTCAATCTGAGTCAGTGTCTAGTAGGATTCAAAATTATATGTAACATGATAACTCACTATAGTATGACTGTGTAATAAATTATATATCACATTTTGGTAAAACATATGTGATGTAAATATTTATCAAGTGAAAGTAAGGGAATCATAATCATAAGCATAGGATTTGGCTGGAATAGTGATTGCTGTGGGCAAAAGTTGTAAGCTGCTTTAAAGTTCTGCATTTTCTATATTGTTGTGGGCTTATACTTACTAATTATATTGCCAAAAGAAACAGAGAGAGAAAGAAGAAAGATAATTGTAGACCAAAGATAAGCACATCGCATGCAGCAAGGCCTGCTCTGAATCTCTGATCCGTGAATAGAAATGATAATAGCAGTCTGTTGTGTGAATATCTGGTGAGATGGATTTATATGCAGCATTTCACAAACTTGCTTGCTTTTGAATCATTTGTCCACAGATACACTTTGGGTAGTAGTGAAGAACTTAACATTTCATCGACAGATAAGGACAGTTGACTTAGGAGACATAAAACAAACATCCTTTCTGATTCCATACTTAATTTTTTCTTCTTTTGTTTGTTTTAGTGGCTTTAAAATAATTTTATCAATTAGTAAGAATTCAATAACATTTAATAAGGACTGAATACTTTACAAGGTCCTTAATACTATTAATAAAAAAATCATAAAAGCTGTATTTTAGCATCTGAAGATGAGCTGCCCAATATGGTGGCTACAAGACACCCGGGGACATTAAACACTTGAAATGCAGATAATGTGACCAAGAAATTAAATTTTAATTTTAATTATTTTCCACTAAGTATAACTTTATTGCTTTGGTCAAAGCATATTTCACTTAAATTATTGTAAACTTAGCATCCAATTTGTGATGTGCGATAAGCATGGAAAACTCACTGTATTTGAAGACAATATGAAAAAATGGTACAATAGCTCATTAACAATTTTTATATTTATTGCATGCAGAAGTGATCATTTTTGATACATTAGAACAAATAAAATATTAAAGCCAATATCATTTGTTCTTAACTATTTTTAATGTGGCTGCCAAAAAATGTAAAGTTTCATATTTGGCTCGCATTTATTTCTATTTGACAATACTACTTTAGAATAATTTTATTTCTTTGTTAAAGTACAAAGCCCAAACTTTGAAACACTGTACCTGTTGTGTGATCATCAAAAAGAAAAAAATCATCTACGACTTTCTCACTTTGAATTGTTTTTGGCCATTGACTCTTCCCAACATGTGTGGTCACAGCCCTGGAATGTAAGGACTGTTCACACCAATTCAAGTGAGGCTAAGGTACGGGAAGCCAAAAAGGTGCCCTTTCTTTGTGACAGTATAATCCAGGTAGATCAGACTCTTGACCAATCAGAGGCCTCTGCTTGACTTATTTCAATCTTGAAACTACTTATTGCTTGCTTAATTAAAAAGTGATGAAGATTATACAGTAAGAAAACTTTATCAGCTCCTTCTAGAGCAAAGCATTCTCCTCTAGGGCCACAAAAATGCTTGTGTATATAGGCCAATTATGAGAAAAGCATGAAGGATAGAAGGGAAGAATATAACTGAAAATCATGAGAGCTCAAAAAGCAGCCCAACCCTTCATAAGGGTGTAATTTGTCTGCAGCCCAGCCTGTTCAGAGAGGAACTCAGAGCCCTCAAAGACTTGAAGAAATGACAGGAGAAATAGTCATTCCTAGCTAGAATGTGGCTGAACAAATAAGCAGATTTTTGGAGGGAAAGAAAATCCATCCATCTGGACCAGTGAAAAGAGGAAGTGAGAATGTATAAACAGATTCAAGAATCCTACATGCTAGCCTCAGCTCTGTAACCTTGGAGAAGTGCCTTTCCCCTTGGAGCCTTAGTTTCTTTACCCCTAAGATGAAGACGTTGGACGATATGAGCAATCTATTGGTTTAGGAAGCAATCTGCTTCCTAAATGACTAGGGGTCCTCAGCCTTTGCAAATATACTCTGAATGGCCACTGGTTAAAATATAGGAGTTAGACCCTAACACTTCCATTTCCTAACACTGACTCTGGAGAAGTCATGTGACCTTTCTTAAGCTTGATTTCCTTAGTTAGAAGAAGAGCCTCACAGTACCTACCAACTCGAGTCATTTTAAAGACTAAACAAATTCATATCTGTAAAGTACAATGACTTTCACCTGAAAGTTGCTCATTAAAAGTAAACATTATTATGTTCTTTTACATTTTCTTTTTTATTTATTTTTATTTTTCCATAAGTTTTTGGGGTGCAGGTGGTATTTGGCTAAATAAGTAAGTTCTTTAGTGGTGATGAGTGAGATTTTGGTGTACCCATCACCTGAGCAGTATGCCCTGCACCCTATTTGTAGTCTTTCATCCCTCACTCCTCTCCTATCCTTCCCCTCAAGTCCCCAAAGTCCATCGTATCATTCTTAAGCTTTTGCATCCTCATAGCTTAGCTCCCACATATTAGTGAGAACAGAAGATGTTTGGTTTTCAATTCTTGAGTTACCTCATTTAGAATAACAGTCATCAATCTCATCCAGGTCCCTGCAAATGCCGTTAATTCATTCTGTTTTATGCTGAGTAGTATTCCATCACATTTATATACTACAGTTTCTTCATCTAATCATTGATTGATGGATATTTGGGCTGGTTCCACAATTTTGCAATTGCGAATTGTGCTGCTATAAACATGCATGTGCAAGTATATTTTTCAAATAACAACTTCTTTTCCTCTGGGTAGATAACCAGTAGTGGGATTGCTGGATCAAATGGTAGTTCTACTTTTAGCTCTTTAAGGAATCCACATGCTGTTTTTCATAGTGGCTGTACTAGTTTGCATTCCCACCAGCAGTGTAGAAGTGTTCCCTGATCACCATGTGAGCATGCCAACGTCTACTGTTTTTTGATTTTTTGATTATGGTCATTCTTGCAGGAGTAAGGTTGTATCGCATTGTGGTTTTGGTTTGCATTTCTCTGATTGTTAGTGATGTTGAGCATTTTGTCATGTTTGTTGGCCATTTGTATATCTTCTTTTGAGAATTGTCTATTCATGTCCTTGGCCCAATTTTTGATGGGATCGTTAGTTTTTTTCTTACTGATTTAAGTTGTAGATTCTTTCTCTTGTCTGATCGCTCTGGCTAGGACTTCCAGTACTATGTTGAAGAAGAGTGGTGAGAGTGGGCATCCTTTTCTTGTTCCAGTACTTAAGGGGAATGCTTTCAACTTTACCCCATTCCGTAAACAGTTGGCTGTATGTTTGTCATAGATGGCTTTTATGACACTGAGGTATGTCCCTTGTGTGCCAGTTTTGCTGAGAAAAGATAAAATTGATAGACCATTAGCAAGACTAACCAAGAAAAGGAGAGAGAAAATCCAAATAACCTTTTACATTTTCTATTTTATCTTATCAAGCCAGAGTTCTGGGGGAATCAATAAAGAGCAGGTGGAAATTATATTTAGTTGATTTTACATGTTTGCTTAATTTCTCTCTAGACTTTTATGGCCCTGTTTTTCCCCCATGCTTACAAAAACCGTCACAATCATCAGAGTTAAATAGCATTCATTTTTTCACCCTTAGAATCTGTAATATTTCATATGAATAGTGGAATTATCCCTGAGAGCTTTCCAAAGCATTTTTAGCACAAATCTTTATTTACTAAAGGGTAAAATACACTTCCTGTAAGAATACATTATTTCATTTGGAGAATAAAACAGCAATAATTGTTTTATTCACTTGTAACAATTTCACCATCCAAAAACCTACTCACAAAGGCATCTTTCAGTCTGGAAGTCCTGTCAGACAGCTTGTTTGCACATTTTGAGAGGAAGGACACAAGAAGGAGTGGGCATTTATTGTGATAAGCTCTGCGCTGTGCTTTTAAAATTAATTTTAATAGTCATGTAGCATTTTAAATACATAAATGTTTTTTCATCCTTTGAAAATTGATTGTAGGAATATCTAGGTGCATGCGGTTCCTTCAGCTGCTTGTTAGATGCACAGATACTTATTTTGTACCTTTTTGTATGTCTAAAATATTTCAGAATGCCTTTTGACTTGGCAACAGTATCTGCTGCATTACTTCAGTCTTGGAAAGAACTATTTCCCTGCTTGGTGCTACATGCAACCCATCTTGTGCCTTATTTCAGTTTTTCACACGTATTTATGTTGAGTGATAAAAACTAAATTGGTTGCAGTTTTAAACAAATTTTTTCATTGCTCTTGCCCCAAGGATACAATTCCCAATCAAAGTGAAGAAGGAAAGAAAGTTTTGTGAGTGCAGAAATAAAAACAACTTATCAGTAAATCTTTAGATCAATAGTCTATGTGACAGTTCTTGCTTTTATGAGAAAAGGAAGAACTAAGAAAGAAACACCCTTGGCTTTTTTCCCCTCTAAGTGTTATTTTTCCTCTTACCTCCTTTTTTCCCTCCTGTAAACAGATATGTTGTTTCCCTTTTCACTTTCAATTTCTTGACTGAATTCCTTATTTTCCTTTCCAATCATTTAAAATTGCCTTCAAATGGGATATTCCAGTTTTCAGTGATTGAACAGTAGGAATGTAATCAATCCATAGGTGGTGAGAGCTGAAAGACACCTTCGAGATCATCTGTAGGGCTGCTCTCAAACTTCATCATGCATCAATATTATCCTGAGAGGTTGTTCCATTGTTGAGTCCCATGCTCAGAGTTTCTGATTAAGTAGGCTGGACAGGAGACCTGATAATTTGCATTTCTAGTACTTTCCTAGATGAGACTGACACTGCTAGACACACTTGGAGAAGTGATCAGTGATTCAGGAGATCAGTGCTCTTTTCTTTTATTGAAGAAGTGCTTACAAGGCACTTTCAATGGGTTAGATAATAACATCACTTAATTATAGCCATCTTATAATTTGACACCATCCTTATTCCCATTTTATTGTTGAAGAAACTGAGAAAAAGAGATCAAATAATTTGCTCAAGGTCACAAGGCAAGTAAGCAGCAGAGCTTTGGTTTAAACACAGCAGGCAACCTCCAAATTTGAGCTGTCACCCCTGTGCTTTTCTACCTTTGTGTTGAGTTTCAATAGCACAAACAGGATTAGTGTGAGAGGGTAGGGAGAGGACAGAAAAGGGAGTAATTCATTGAAACTTGGGGATCCTAAGAAAATGGTAGAAAAGAATTTAAGGATGTTGAAAGCATTTTCACTAGGTCGTAAAGAAAACAAATTTTGACATTCTGAGACATCAGGAAGAATATTCCAGACTTTGGAAGAAAATCATACAATAAAACAAGATGAAGAAAAGTGCCTGATACATTATGAGAATGAGGAGTCTGGCTTGATTGAGCCATACTTTGCCTAGATATGTTGAGCGGGAAATGAAGCTAGAACATATTGGGATGTGAAAGGAAAATATCTTGAGCCCCCAAAATCACTAAGCTGAAAGGAAAATTCAAGCTGAGAACTGCTTAGGGCAAACCTGCCTCCCTCTCTGTTCAAAGTTATCCCTCTGCTAACTCAGATAAATGTATATCTGATTGTATCCTTGGGAAAGGCTAATCAGAAGCTTACAATAATGTAACAATTTGTCTGTCATCTGTGACCTGGAAGCCCCTTCCCTGCTTCTGGTTGTCCTGCTTTTGCTTCAAGTTGTCTTGCCTTTCTGGACTGAACCAATGTTCATTTTACATGTGTTAATTGATGCCTCATGTCTCCCTAAAATGTATAAAACCAGCGTGGACACACATTGCCAGGACCTCCTGAGGCTGTGTCATGAGTGTGCATATGCTGGCAAAATAAACCTTCTAAATTAACTGAAACCTGTCTCAAATTTTCTGGGTTCACAGGGAGAATAGATCAAACGGGCCTTGACTGCCTGCCAAGATTAATTTGAATTCTTCCTGTGATAAGAGATGGGCGAAGAGGAGTCACTGATGTGTTTTAAGTATGAATGGAGCAAAGCTCACTATCATTTTGGCATCAATGTGGAGAATGGATGGAGGAGGATGATATTTGTTAGAAGACTGCACAAGATTCCAGTTGAGGTATGACGGTGGTCTTGGACTCACGGAACAAGAGAAAGAATGGAACTGAGAGGAGTTGAGTTTCAGGTTGAATCTAAAATTTTTAAACATTGATCAACTAGAAGCAGATGATAAAGGAAGAAGGAAAAAGAGGCAAAACTAAGTCAGATAAACCTTTATTGTTGTGGACATTTGTTCTAGGCCCTATAACAAGCATTACAAACAAAAATGATAAGTAAAATTGCAGATTTAGGGTCTGGCTGGAAGGCAAGGAAGACTCCAAGGCAGCGTCAGCAATAACTCCTTCAGCTAAACCCACACTGGCAAGGCGCTGATCCAGAGTGTAATTCCCCATGCTGAAGCTTGGTTGGACAAAACAGCTTTGGATTCCGGATCATTTCCCATCAAGAAAAATGGAGTGAACTAACCACAGTCAGCATGTCCCACAGAAAACAAATGCCTCTACAGCAACAGCATTTTCAACTGGTAAATAGGCCTGACATTTAGGCATCTATTGCTCCTTGTGCACTAATAAGTCTAACTTGAGGCTCAGAAATCATTAGCAGAGTGAGTGCTTTTAATGAGCTCTTGAAGAAAAATATGGTTTAAAAAATATATTACCTGCAGTTAAGCATTACCATGGATGCTCATGTTAAAATTTATGGGAAAAGTGCTTGAGGAAAGCCTGAGCCATTATAAAAGCTGGACATAATTTCTATTTTAGAAGAAAAGTTAGATCATTTTTTAAAGTGTCCACTCTAGAGTTTATTAAGACCCATAATAGATTTTATCTCATACTCAGGTTTTTTGTTTTTCCCCACCCTTACTTCCCCATGGTGGTTAAAGAGTAGGCTGAGACTAGGCGATGAGGCTATGTTGTGGCCTGGTACACGCAACCACTAGCTCTTTTTCTGCAAATGGTGTTGCTGGCCATAGTGGAGAAGGGTCTCCTCAATCATTTAACAAACTAACTAAGGGCAGTCAACTCAAATGCATCCATTAAATCCATCCATCTATTTCATTATTCACTTAACAAACATTGTAATTCAACATTTATACTTATTCAACACTTACTTAGCTAGGTTAGCCATGTGATATATTGTCCATAGCAGAATACTTGTGAGAGACAAGGGACATTATTAATAATTGCTTTTGTTATCTTTTGCTGTGGAAAAAAACTCCAAAACTTAATGGCTTAAAGCAGGCATTGTTAAGTGGCTTAAACCTATAATTCTCTGTGTTGACCAGGCTTGGCTTGACTGGGTAGTTCTCACTTGTGGTCTTTTGTGTGGTTGTTGTCTGGGAGTGGTATCATGATCTGAAGACTCACCTGGACTAGACATCCGTAATGACCCTCTCATATGGCAGGAAGTTGGTGTTGGCTGTCCACTGGGAGCTTAGTTGAGTTGTTGACCTAAACACCTATATATGACCTCTTTGTATGGCTTGGATTAACCATAGCATGGCACTGGGTTCTGAGGAAGGGCATCCACACCAACAAGCATTCTCTAAGAGGCACAGGTGAAAATCCCAAGTCCTCCAAAAAGGGATGATTGGAATCGGCACAGTGTCACATCCACAACATTCCATTGACCAAAGGACAACCTGGAGTCTAGGAAATGAATAGATAGATGACACATCTTGATCACCCCAGGGACTGCCATCCAACCTCAGTCTCAGTCTCCTTTTCTGTAAAATATGGGTAATAATTTAGCTCTCACTGACCTGCAGTAAGAATTGAATGAAGTAATCCTGGTGAAACCTGAGGCCCTGTGCCTGGCAGACTGGTGGGTGCTGGATGAGCTCTGACTGTTTCGTGGTCTCATGTTGATTGTACTGTTCTTCCTCTTCATTGTCATTGGCCAGTTTAGGCCCTCATTATCTCTCACCTGATAGTTATAAAAGGTGTTGGACCAGACTTCCCATTTCTATTTTCTCTTCTTATCTATCTGTCCTTCAGATGATCAGCAGTATCTCTTACTCAGCCCTTTTTCTACATGGCTCTCTCTCCTCCTCTCATGACTCCAGCATGTCCTAACATAGGTGCAAAGGACATACTAGCTTTCCTGGCATTGGAAGCCTGTGCTCCAAATGAACTGGCCAAGCTATTCTGGCTATAAGTGGGCCCTCCTCTGCTGCCTGCTTAGTTCCAGGCTGCTTTTTCTTCCAAGAATGCCCTTTCCAAGTCCTGTGCGCTTAGCTCTCCATCCTTCAAGGCTTATCTAAAAGCTGACCGTATTCTCTCATTTACCTCTTCATCTCATCCATACACATTATAAGGCCCTGGGGAAACTCTATCTTGCATTATAATGACTGAAATACACAGATGCTTCAGGACTGAAGGGAGGGAAAGAGAAAAAGAGAGAGAAAATGAAGTAGAATATTTAAAAAATATTAACGATTGTTTTTTTCCAATTCTGCAATCATTTGGCTCTCTTTAAGCCATTCATTAAGTGCTTCCAATAAAGGATACAGCCACATTAAGTTAGTTTTGAGATTCAAGATCTTAAAACTTAGTGACCAATAAATAAAAATCCAAGGTATAGAGAATAAAACTGTAATATGTGAAGGCAAGAGAAAGGCTTCTATGATGAGACCAGGTAATAATTTCCTCAGACTTTGTTGAGGGGAGGGCTTAGACAATGTGCAAAGGCCAAGGGGAATGTGTGTCCCAGGTGAGGGGCCAGAACTGAGCAGATTTCCTTGGAGAAGTAGAATCAGCAGCCCAAGATAGTTTAGCATCTCTTGAGTGAGTGCTGTTGTTGTTGCATCTCGAGGGGCTACACTGATGATGCCATAATTAGTGTCCATAGCACAGCCAGAGATTGCCCATGAACTGTGCATCAAGAGTGGTTCCCATATTTGCCTTATTTACCCTGTGGAACAACCTCCCTCACTGCCCTCATCCTTCACCCACAAGAGAAAAGGTGAGTTCTGTTCATCAACCGGTGGAGGACGTATGGAAGGAAGGGTCCCTTAAACTGTGGTTTAGTCAGAGCAGAGCAGATTCAATTTGAGAAATCTCAAGCTCAAACAGGTAGTAATCTTAGGTCTGGACCATTGTTATTGTCATAAATAATAATCCATAGATTCTTAAGTAATATAAGGCCGTCTCTGAAGGCACATGCAGTGTTAACCAAAATTCTGCACAAGAGATGTGTTTCTTATCTTTTATTTATATGGGCAATCCCTTATTAATATATAGGCTGGGCATGGTGGCTTATGCTTGTAATCCCAGCACTTTGGGAGGCTGAGGCAGGAGGATTGCCTGAGACTAGGAGTTTGAGACCAATCTGGGCAACATAGTAACACCTGTCTCTACAAAAACATTTGAAAAATAGTCATATGATTGGTGCATGCTTATAGTGTTAGCTACTCAGAAGACCGAGGCAGGAGGATCACTTGAGCCCAGGAGTTTGAGGTTACAGTGAGCTATGATCGTGCCACTTCACTCTAGCCTGGGCAACAGAGAAAGATCTTGTCTCTAATATAAATATATTTGTCGTGTGTGTGTGTGTGTGTGTGTGTGTGTGTGTATGTGTGTGTGTGAATGAAAATTTATGCTTTGCGTTATGATCCAATATTACTTTATTTATTTATTTATTTTGTTGTTGACTTTGTTTTTATTTTATTTTCAGTTTTGGCTGTTGGGAGCTTTTTCAGTTGACTCCTGGGTCCCTTCGATACACACCCATCGTTTTTGTTTTGAGCACTTCCTTTGTTTCTGGCAATGTGCTCCCTACTCAACTTGTATATTCTCTATCTCAATCCTAGAATGGGCCATTTCTTTAAGGTGTTCTAGGACCCTTTATTAGAGAACAACATTTAAAAAAACCAAATATTGGTACCAACTGGACTTTATCTTTTGATTTAGGAACGGGAACTCTTTTCAGAAGACTTTGCTTTTTCTCATAAGCTGACCCAGAAAATCAAGTATCTGGCCCCTTTTACCCCTGTGATGGAGGAGAGCATTCTTGGGAATAGATGTCAAGTGAACCAACCTGTGGGATTTACCTCTATTAGGGAGGCGACTACTTCATGTGTAAGTTTTCAAACCAAATCACCATAAACACTGTCCCTGCTTCCTTGGAAATTTGGAAACCTGTATTGTTGTAAAATTTTATGTTGCTCTTTCATCTCTGTAAGTACAGACTAATGAACACATATATACACACACACATGCACACACACACATACATGTATTTATATATGTAGATTTTAGCCATTTATAATGATGATGATTTCTAATGTCTGTGAAGTGCTTATGATATGCAAGGGACTATGTTAAATATTTTGTAGGCATTATCAGATTTGATTTTCAAAAATTCCTGAGATCGGCACTGTTATTACCCCCAGAGGAGGTCACTGAGGCCCAGTCGCATTAGTGATTTGTCTACCTAGCAAGTAGTGAAGGTGAAATTTGAATCCAAGCAAACTTTCACAAGACTCTCAGTCTCAATTTCTCTGTTATTGCCTTGATCATTTATAAGGGAAGATACTGCATATGAGGGGATTGCATCTGCAGAATCTGTTGTAAGACACATTGTCAGATGTTCATGTAAACACGTAAGAGCTGTTATGTGCCCTACAATTATGTGATGTTCATGTTTTTAGACTGAGTGCCATGGGATGAGTTGTGTCCTGGCCTCCAAATTCATACGTTGAAACCTTAACTCCCAGTATTTTAGAATGTGACTTTATTTGGAGATAGGACCTTTAAAGAGATAATTCAGTCAAAATGAGGCCTTTAGGATGGACCCTAATGAAATTTGGCTGGTGTCTCTATAAAAAGAGAAAATGTGGGACATAAAGAGACACGAGGGGTGCACAAGCACAGAGAAAAGACAGGTGAGGGCACAGCCATCTGCAAGCCAAGGAGAGAAGCCTTGGAAAAAACTAAATTCACTAGAGTTTTGATCTTGAACTTCCAGTTTCTAGAAAAGCATGAAAATAAATTTATGTTGTTTAAGCTACCTGACTATGACATTTCGTTATAATAGCCTTAGTATGCTAATAAACCAGTCATGCCACAAGTGATTTTCCCTACTCAGATTCAGCCAGATGCTGTTCACATGTGAGTCATATACTCAACGTGGTTTGTTTATGAGAGCTATGAAAACTCAGGCTTAACTCCAGGAAAAGATGAGATAGCAATTCATAAACAGCATAAACTGATTGAAAAAGCCAAGTACCCATTGGTTGGTAGCAGGAAAATAAGGTTATGTTCATTACAAAAATGCCTGTAAGGAGCAAAGAGTATGACACGGGAATGATATTTGAATTAGGATACATTAAAAAAATGAAAAAAAAATGTCAGAGGAATACAACTTATTTGATGTGAGGCCTTCACTTAGGGCCTAGTAGCGCTGCCCCCACTTAGGGCCTAGTGGAGCTGCCCCTGATTTCGTATTGTGGGTTTCAGGACTAACTGAGAGGAAAACCCACGGGGCACCCACATGAAGTATGTTTTGATGGTCCCTCATCACACTGAAATGTGCTGATAAAGGGAACATAGTCCTGATTTAACAGCCTGAGTTTGAAGCCTGGCTTGACTGGACCTGTCACTTTGGGCAAGATATCCCCCCAATCCCTCAGTTTCCCATCTGTAAAACAGGGTATAATTGTTCTCACCTTGGTGGGTTCTGTATTATGAGAGAGGATATGTTGTTAAGTGCTTGGAATGGTAGTTAATACATATTAGTTTTATTATAAATTATATTTATAAAATATCTGAATCATTACTCTATATTTATAATAAAAATTTTATGATAAATTAACTTCCTAGGTAAGTGACTCTGCACTCTTTACATGAATCTCTTCAATTAGAATATGCTGAACATGACTATGTAGCCTTTGCTTGAAGATGCCACTACCATCATGAATATCACAATCTCTAGTTTTGAATATGCAGTTTGGTCCCTCCTGACCCACCAGGGCATGACCTCCAATTGCCTTTCTACCTCTACCTATCGACACCCCATAATCCTGAGAGTCTAAATTTTTTTTTGAGGCTCCTATTTCTACACAGTCCTCTCCACAGATTTTTATATAAGCCCTCTTCTCTGCTTCAAATATTCCACCTTCTGCCTACCTTCCCCTGATTGTACTTCTTTGTACTCATCACGTAAGACTCATCTCAGTATCACCTTTCCTAGTCTTCTAGCCCCTGACATTCAGTATTAACCGTTATTCAATGACATTTATGATGAGTATCATACTTCTTTGCTTATTTTTTTGTACATATCCTCATTGGATTCTGAGCTCCATGAGCTATTTCATTATTTCTGATCTTAAGTGCCTTCCAGAAAAACTGCCATTAAAATAGTCACTTTCTATAGGCTTGAAATAAATGAATAGATTTAAAAGCAAATGTACATTGAGGTTTCCCTTTGGCCTGAGCAAAAGCAGGTCAGAGTTGGACCTAATAAATTGACAGCAGTAAAGTATTTAATATGTATTATTTAAACTGAGTGTCTTGTTTCAATAGACATTTATTGAATGCTTAGGTGTATGCAAAGTACTGGGATCAATTTGGTCTAGAGGGAAGAAAATACTGTTGTACTCTTTTCCCTAAGAGGAGGATTCTTCCTCTCCTTGCTTAATTCAAGCTCCCCTCCAAGGTAAGAGAACTTGCTGATTCAATCAGTCTAGAGTTTGGATTGGGTCATAGTTATTAGTGAGTCTGGTGACTGGAGTCTGGTGACACTAAAAGGATGGAATGCACAAGTGCAAGTGTGCATTCTCTTGAGCTTTCTGCTTCTCCTTTCCATATAGGAAGCAGACACCAGCAAGGTCAAAAGCTCTGAGCTGGAACCAGAGCCATATCTCACTTCTTTCCGTCTCAGGACTTAAATTCAGAGGGATCCAGGGGATCCCATTTAAGCCTCAGGCTCGATCTATATTCTCCAATCTAATTTTTACCAGCTCTCTGATTTAAAGGTTAAATAAATGGTGCTATTCTGTTAAATAAAGTAATACTTTCTTTTTCATATAACATCTCTTCTTATATGTAGCCCTCTAAGAAACTGACTTTGGTTGGGGTGGGTTACAGGGTGGGGATTAGAGGTTGAAGAAACAATGAAAAAAGGAAAAATAAATCATGCAGCAGGATTCAGGCTTTTCTGGGTTTCTATCCATACTGTGAAAAGAATAATGGAAAAGATATATAAATAGAGAAAATTTCACCCTTGCCTTATACAAATTACAATTTAATTTATCTTCATGAAATTTTTGTTAATGAGGAGGGCTGCTGTATTAGTTTCCTAGAGTATAATTATTCCATGGTAATAAAGTACCAAGTACCAAAAGCTGTGTGGCTAAAAACAATAGAAATGTATTATCTTACAGTTTATGAGGCAAGAAGTCTGAAATAAGGATATTGACAGGGTTGGTTCCTTCTGCAGGCTGTGAAGTCTTTTTCATGCTTCTTTTCTAGTTTTGAAGTGAGAGATCAGCAGAACTTGTTTTCTGAGCACTGATAATGACCTTGCTGATCAAAAACAGGATGCTGTAAAGAAACCTGCTGAAACCAGCAGATGGTGAGAAAAGTGACTTCTGGTGCCCACACTGTTCATAAAGAAAGACACTCCCACCAGTGCCATGACAGTTTACAAATGCCATGGCAACATGCCTTGGCAACAACTGAGAAGTGACCTTATATGGCTCCAGGAACTCCCCAACTCTTTTCTAGAAAATTATGAATAACCCACCCTTAATTAGCATATAATTAAGAGTAGATATAAATATAGCTAGCCAGCAATTGATGCCGGGGCTGCCTCTGCAGCTGTGACTTCAGTTGTGGCCACTGTTCCTGCTCCAATGGCTGCTCCAGACAGCTACTGTTGCTGTATACTGCTGCTGCTGTGGCTACTCCAGGCTGCTCTGCCTATGGAGCAGCCGCTATGCTGTACCATGGTACTGTAGGCGCACTGCCAATGGGTTAGCACAGTTATGTAAGGGGCAGCCATTCTGCTATGTGCTCCTGCTTCAACCTGGTTTCTTCCACCACTGGCTTACTCTTGAATTCTTTACTGAGTAAAGCCAAAGACCCTCCTGGGCTAAGCTAATTTTGGGGCTTGCCTACTGTACATGAGTTTCTGGTGGTTGTCAGCAATTCCTGTCATTCTTTGGCTAGTAGATGGGTTACGTCAATCTGCCTTCACTTCACATGGCAGTCTCCACGTTGTATATCTAAGTCTTTCTGTGTCCTCTCCTCTTATAAGGATGCCAGTTACTGGATTTAATGCCCACCCTAACCCCAAAGTGATTTCATCTTGAGATCCTTAATTACATTTGTAAAGAACACTATTTCCAAATAAAGCAACAGTGTGAGGTTCTGGGTGAATGTGAGCCTTTAAGGGACACTATTGCCTTGGTCCATTTTGTGCTGCTATAACAAAATACTACAGACCGGGTATTTATGAAGAATGGAGATCTATGTCTTAGAGTTCTGGAGGCTGGGAAGTTTAAAATCAAGGGGCCAGCATCTGGCAAGGGCCCTCTTGCTTTGTTATGCCATGGCGAAGGGTGGAAGGCTAAGAGGGTAAGAGGGAGCAAACTCCCTCTCTCAAGCCCTTCAAAATGACATTAATCCATTAATGGGGTCAGAGCCCTCATGATCAAAACACTTTCCATGAGGCCCCACTTCCCAACACTGTTGCACTGGGGATTAAATTTCAACTTGGGGTTTGGAGGAGACAAAAACATTTAGTTCATATTCAGTCCACCACAGCTGTCCTGAGATACATAAAAATGCTGTTACAACCATGTTGTATATGAGAGGCCTCGATCTGGGAATCAGTAGATGTGCCAAAAACAAGCTGTGTGATGTTGAATAATTCAGTAAAACACTCTGGGTTTCAGTTACACACTCAGTGAAATATGATAGTTAAGCCAAGATCTCAAGTATAAAGGAACCTTGAGAATCATACAGGCCCTTACCTCCCATACTAATGCCTACACCTCCTTCACATGTGACTGTCTCTAAGGTCCCTTAGTTAATATTATTTTCTGTAATCTCTTAGATTCATAAGAAGGACCTTAAGTCTAATGCCTCCCAATTCAGTTTCTTGCATTCTAACTCTAGGTGTATATAGAGATATGACATTCTAGCATACCTCTATTCTATCTCTAATAACATGTCACCCTCATAGAACATTTTTGGGACTGAATGGTACTAAGTATTAGTGTAAAAATTATACTGGGCAGCCAGGCATGGTGGCTCACACCTGTAATCCCAGCACTTTGGGAGGCCGAGGAGGGCAGATCACGAGGTCAGAAGTTCAAGATCAGCCTTGACAACATAGTGAAACCCCATCTCTACTAAAAATACAAAATTAGCCAGGCATGGTGGCACATGCCTGCAGTCCCAACTTCCCAGCTACTTGGGAGGCTGACACAGGAGAATCACTTGAACCTGGCAGATGGAGGTTGCAGTGAGCTGAGATGGCGCCACTGCCCTCCAGCCTGGGTGACAGACAGAGACTCCTTCTTGGGGTGGGGGAGGGGGGAAGGAATACACACACACACACACACACACACACACACACACACACACACTGGGCATACAGGTTGTGTATATATATATATATATATATATATATATATATATATACAAGGCAAACAGGTAAAAATTGGAACTGTTTCAGGCAACTGAGGCATAAGATCATGTTTTCATCTCTATCAAAATTAGACTTAGACTCTTCATTCTCACTAAACGGTAAATGTTTAATAATAACTTAGATTATGAGTGGTAAGATTCATGCTCATTACCAAAATGACTAATTACTCACAGTACTTTTATTGTTATTATATCTATAACTAGCTTCAGGATTCTTAACACAGTGTTTTAGGTAACCATTGTAAAATAATGAGTTGACAGACCAAACGGGAACTATTTGCTACATCTGACTTAGAGAATAACCAGTTTTTCTCTAAGCAAATGTGCTATTTACTAAACATTGAAACCCAAATTTGTAAGAGTAAAATTCTAATAATTAGAATTTTACACATTTAATGGCATAGTATGTGGTAGGGGGCAGGCAACAAGGAGCTTTGCATAACGTATTTCAGAAATAAAATTGAAAGGAAAATATGTTCCGTGGAGGTAAATAATGATTCTCATAATTGTTCTATTTCCATGCTTTTCATTAGAATTTTCAGTATGCAGAGGATTTGAGGAAAAACTTAACACCAAAAATTTAGTTTCTTACTAGAGTCTGCTGAATTAGAATTGGATGCAATTGTGGCCCACAAGATATGTTCAATTTCATGCTAACTATTTGCTGGAGAGGGAGGAGGTAAGCAACAGGTCTCTGATCCATCTTTTTGGGGGATGGTGGAGGGGTAAGTGGGAGGAGACACACTCCTAAGAAGAAATAAGGTGGGTGACACAGTCTAATCTCTTAACATACTATGCTAGACCTCTGTCAATCAAACTAAATGGTTTCTGTTAGCAGAATTCTTATCTAAGGAATGTTTTTAGCAGAATGAGCCTGGTGGTCTAGCACTGTTTCTAGCAAAGAAATCTGGACTATATAGGTTTATGAGGTGTGCCTCCCTGGAAGAGGCTGGATAAACTAGGAAACCAGGAGTATAAAACAGAGAAATTCACATTAATGAGGTAATGACATATCTTACTGAGCAACTGCCTCTGGTAATCTGGGCCGGAGCTTATCTGGTGTAGGAAGAAAGCATCTGGGGAGAAGCACTGTGGGTCTTTGGTCTCTGCCTGCATTACCTGTGCTTTGGGATTACCTGCATCCTTGGAAACAACAGTACATTCTGGTAGTGGATAAGATCTGTGATTCCGGAAACTCTCATTAGACAGTTATCTTTTGGGTTGTTTCAGCTCCTTACAAGTATACACTCTTTTTAAAACTTACCTTTCTACTTAGTTGGTGCATGTATTAGTCTGTTCTCGAACTACTTTAAGGAAATACCTGAGACTGGGTAATTTATAAAGAAAAGAGGTTTAATTGGCTCATGTGTAATTTCACAGTCTATACAGGAAGCATGATGCTGGCACCAGCTTGGCTTCTGGGGAGGCCTCAGGAAAACATATAATCATGGGAGTAGGCAAAGAGGGAGCAGCATCTTCTTATGGCTGGAGCAGGAGGAAGAACTGGGGACGGGAGGTGCTGCATACTTTTGAACAACTGGATCTCATGATAACTCACTCATTCACTATTGCTATGACAACATCAAGGGAGATGGTGTTAAACCCTGAGAAACTGGCCCCTTGATCCAATCACCTCCCACCAGGCCCTGCCTCCAACATTGAGGATTCCAACTGGACATGAGATTTGGGTGGAAACATCAGCGCAGGACTGTACTCTGGGTGGCTTTGAATTCAGACAGTTCTTTTGCCTTTTCTCTATTGTAGTTCTCAAGGATAACTATAGAATATGCTGAAAATGCACCGTCCTCAGATCAAGGGGAAATGGTCGGAACAGCCTTAATTCTCTTCCAGGTCCCCCCAGAACAGGACGTCCTTCAACATTTTAGCACAGCAAATCATGTGACCTCAAAGTATACACCCGCAGAGTGAGCGGCCTTCTGGGGTTCCTCAGCTACATTGTTAGTGGGACACACAAGCCAATGAGATTTCATCCACACCAGGCAGCTTTCCTTATCCTTGGGGGAACTGGCTCATGTTAAATATTAGGCTTCTGTGGTCCCTGGATGCCTATCTATAAGTAGCAATCCCACATCGTGTAACTTTTGTGCATGGGTGTTCTGTTTCGCCAGCCTCAGACAGTTGGTGGCCAGTGCATAATGAACATGCTTCACAGTTAGCATTTTCAAGGGAGACAATTCTTGTGGAAATGAGAGACTATGGCTTCATTTCTGTTTCTCTTCCCATGGTACAGGATGCAGGATCAGCCTGGAGTAGACCTAAAGACAGATATTTTTTCAACTGCCCAATTTGTTGAGGGCAAATGCAAAGAGTGGGAGTCGTGTCGAGGCTTGTTGGTGATGTCTGTGGATTCCTGAGCATACAGAGATCATATGTTCAATTCATTTGTTGAGGATGGTAAACTGAAATAGGCTACAGCATCCCACTCTTGTTCAAAATACAAAATGATAAAAATGGCATGTAAATAAATAAATAAATCTATGTACATGACACACACGGAGTCATTCTATGGACTAGGAACTGTGTGAAATCCATGAAAGACATGGAGTTGAGACTGCAACCACAGCCCAAAACTACCCTAAGATATGTGATAACAAATTTGGGGTTGGCAGAAAAATGCTTACACACTGGGAATGGCCTATACTCAGAGTGGGAAGCAACTCCGTGACTACGAACAAAGTGATTCATTGGTTTTGCTGCTAGGAGCAGCTCAGCGCTGGACTGTATATTCATATATCTTCACCTCAATACACATTTCTAGGTGGATGAAGAGGGTGTGGGAGCTTGGGTTAGATATAAAAGGCTGTATCCTAGATGGCTGGTCTGTTTAGGAGAAAATGGTGGGCCGCCATCCTCAGATGCCGCACATTCCTAGGGAGGGCAGCCTCAGCAGCACCTTCTGTGGTTACCTTCAAGCTGACACTGCAGTGACACATCAGGTAATCTGACAGGAAACACCAATCCAAAAACTGAACACACAAAATGGAATAGCTAAACATCCAAGGAAAACCACCAGAGGAAGACAGAGATGACCTTGAGCTCAGGAGAGTCAGCAGCCTTGGGTATAAGTCAGACGTAGTCCCCTAGAGGGAGAATTATGAAAATATGTTCTCAAATAGAAGGACTCCTAGAGAAGAAAGGTAGTCTCCTTAAAATTTCTGAGGTCACAGTTCTATCCTTGATTTGTCATTTGCTTCTTTGGTTGGCAAGAGAATGACATTCTTATTCTACCCTGAAACCCAAGGAGACAAAGAACACAAATCAAAACAAAATAAACTTTGTAATAATTAGGTCACTGTCCAGCCTGGCCAGCGTAATGAGTGATAAAATTCTGACAAGAGATTCAAATCACTAAGAACTTCCTTGGGTTTGGTTGAAAATTAGGGCAATTGACCAAGGTGATTGAGGCATGTTTTTTCCAATGTATATAGCGGTCCCCAAATGAGTCAAAATTGATTACATGCCTGAGAGTTTTTGAGATAAAAAGTGTATGCAAAGAGAGTTACTTTTCCTTTGCAATGGAAAGGAAAGAGAATTTCTGAAGAGGGTTACCAACCTCAAAATGTCATATATAAATAATGCTTCTGAACCTCCCAAGGATAAAAAACTCTAGGCCAGAAAATAGTTATAAAGATGCAAGAATGACATTGCTCAATTCTACCATTCAATGGTTTCTGGCTAAGGCAGGAAATTCCTTTATTGGTATATAGAAGGCAGAAAAAAGCATCTTCAAATGTTTGATTCATTGTCACTTAAATTATTTCTGAAAACATAAAAGTCTTTGTTAAAACTCACTAAAGCAGATACAGATAAAAAGCATTTTTAAATAAACTAAAGCTCAGAGGAAAACAAAAGCAAAAACTGCAGAATTTAAAATTATATCATTCAAATTCTACTTGGCTTTTTCTACTCTGATCATTTTGGAAAATTTACTTAGTTTCTTTCTGCTTTCATTTAATAACATAGAGATACTATAGACCTGATCTGGTTTTTAAAAATAATTATATCATTAATACACATTTATTTTAGAAAATAAGCTGGGCATGATGGACCTTTAAATCTATAAAACTACATTTCACCTATTGTTTTCTGTCAAAATCTTCAAATTTAATCACCTAAAACCTACTATAGTACCTTGTTCATACTAGGTGGCCTATAAATATTGGTTGAATGAATGAAAAAAATAGTCTTGTATCTCTGAGCTGGAGAAGTAGACAGGGACCAGATTGTAGATGGATTTGAATTTCATGCTGAAGAGCTTTTATTTTGAGCTGAGAAATATTTTTATCAGCTTTGATATGGTAATGTGGAATATAAATTTAAGTGTGGGAAGTAGCAGTGGACTATCTTGATGGAAACTGAATGAACAGAGGCGGTGGAAAGAGTTTTGGAAAGGTTCCACAGTAGTCACGTTAGTCTGCAGGATATTATCATCTTAACTATGCTTCCGTTTACTCTATTCCCTCTAATAATCTCCCATTATGAAGAGGGGAAAAATTGAAGCAGAAGGAGAGCAAGAAATAGAATGAATATTTTTTAAAACTGAAATCCTAAGTTTTGCATATTTAATGTAGGGTGATTCCAAGTGCCTGTATATTTTCTCATCAGCAAAACAAGCTGGATGTGGGACACCACTGCCTGCTGTCATTGTTAATGAAAGAATTGAGGCTATGGAAGTTTAAATAACTTTTGAGACCCCCCAGATCATGAGTGTTAGTGATTTTCAAACCATGGTTTAAATGCCGAAACAGTCCTTTTTCCTTCTATAAACCTTACTTTCTCCACAGATGAGGGAGGAAATCAAAATTCCTAGGTTTACAAAACTCAAGGCTTTGCAGCACTGTGGTGCTGGTATTATGATGAAAAGCGAGTTGCTACCCGTGAAGAACTTTACTCCGCCACTGAATTATCTCACTGCCTCATCTCTTCCTCTTACTCATGTTGGAAGTAATGTGTTCTTTTGTTTCTTCTAAACATAAAGGTATCTTTTCAGAGCTTAGACAAGCACTGCATGATCCATGGTAGAATTATGTTGAATTTTTTCCTAGTAGCCCACAGAGTCTTTTTTACTCCTTCATATTCACAACTGTTTTTCTACCTGGTTAATATCCAGAGCTCAGAGAGCCTGAAGCTTTCAGAGATTTGTAGGTATCCAACCTCAGTCAACAGTTTGTTCTTGAGAGAGCAATCTCATTCATTCTTAATCTCAGGCCCCAAACTCAGCCATGGAGTCAGTCTAATTCCCTTTCTCTGCCAGCCTTATCTTTCTCCAAAGAGGCCAAAGACCTTTTTGGAGAACACAGAGCTAACTGGTTCTCTTCATGGATCAAAATTACGCAGACAAGCTCATGAGGCAATATGTGAATGAGAGTGCAAGATAATCACCAAGAGCACTGAGTTATAATAAAAGAAGAAAAACACTGAGAGAAAAGAGCACCTAACAAGTAAAGACGTGGAATAACATTCGAAATGAGGTTGACAGTGCCCTTTTTTTTTCTGCAGTCAAAATAGAAGGGAACAAATCACTGAAGAGGTCTGTAAAAGGCAGTCTTTGAGTGTCACGCAGATGAATGTATGACCTTCCTGGTTCCCCTTGCTCTTTAATTTCCAGGAACTAACATTCCCTGCCACCTCACTGCAAAAGGGAGAGGTGTCTCTAATGACATTCCTAAAGTGAAGAACGCCGACCTTTCCAAGAAAAAGAAGGCTAGACATTTATTATCATAAAAAAGCAAGTGTGTGTATGTGCAAGTGCAGTGTGTAATAGCTTAAATTTGAACCTGAAGATCAAACATTGAATTTCAGTGCTGTGACAGGAAGTCCCTTTAGACTTGCAAATTCAATGTGTTTTTAATAAAAGAACAACTTCCTTTTTATATCAGGGCTCATATTTTCAAGTTTTACTAGCAGGAATATTTATTACAATCTCAATCCCATAATTTGTGTTGCTGTCATCTTCACTGTCACCTAGAATACTAAAAACATTAATAAGACATTACATTTTAAATTTGAAAGCTAAGTGTATGTCAAATATCTGCTTGTGTATTAAACTTTTAAAATGTTCTGTATACTGTAAATGAGGTATTATTTTCTTGTATTGCCGGAAGGCTATAGCATCTAATGTGTATTGGGTCTTTTATGGGAATATTATTCTGGTTTAAGAGATAGAAGTATTTTATTTCAATCTGTATTCAACCAAGATTAAGCTAACTGTGATTTTAGGCAGATCATTCTACTTTTACTGATCTCAGATTCATGATTTGTAAAATGATGGTTCTGTCCTCTAAAAGCTTGCTGTAGGCAGAATAATGGTCACCCAGAGATGTCCACACCTCAATCCCTGAAGTTTGTGAGTGTCAGATTACCCAGAAAGGCATATTAAGGTTGCAGATGGAAATACAGTTGCTAATCAGCTGACCGTGAGATGTGGAGACTATCCTAGATAATCCAGGTAGACAGAGTGTAACCACAGGGGTTCTTATAAGCAGAAGAGGAAGACAGAAGAGAGAAGGAACTAGAGAGATGGTCTTGTGGTAATGACCTGCCCAACTGTGCTGGCTTAGAAGATGGAGGAAGGAACCACAAGTCATGGAATCTGGGCGGTGAAAGAAAGGGATTCTCTCCCAGAGCCTCCAGAAGGAAAATGGCCTTGTCTACCCCTTGATTTCAGCCCAGGCTTCTCTTTACAGGTTTCTGTCCTCCAGAACTGTAAGATGATAAATATGTGTTGTTTTAAGCCATCGAGTTTGTGGCAGTTTGTTACAGCAGCTATTAATTGTATTGCATTTGGTACTAAGTTTTCTGGGTGAAGATCCAGAAATCCTACCACTCACCATTCCTTCCTTTACATTGACTGGAAAATGTACATTTGTAAGGGTCAATTGCTAGGTTGTTCAATCAGGGGAATACCTGATATCCTATAATTTAGGAGAACATTTAAATTCTGTCAGACAGTTAGGGCTTCACAACCAAGTTGGGGCTGGAGTGCAGTGGCATGATCACAGCTCACTGCAGCCTTGACCTTGTGGGCTCAGGCGATCTTCCAACCTTGGCCTCCTGAGTAGCAAGGACTACAAGTGACCACCACTACACCTGACTAATTTTTGTATTTCGTGTAGATGGGGTTTTGCCATGCTACCCATGCTGGTCTTGAACTCCTGAGCTCCAGTGATCTGCCTACCTTGGCCTCCCAAAGTGCTAGAATTACAGGTGTAAGTCACTGTGCCCATCCTAGACATCCCTTTTAAAAGTTCTAAATTTATTTTTTAAAATTTGGGTTCTAAATATTTTTTCATATGAAAAGAACTTTTTATTTTAAGTAAGTTTTGATTTTATTGCATAATGTCAGAAAATAGTATTTGTATTGTGTCTAGCCTGGAATTTATTGAGGGTTTTTGGATATCAAGGAATGCCCATTTTCATGACTGATTCATATGCATTTAAAAGTATATATTCTTGATTATCAGGGTTGATTTTATATAGATACAGATATAGGCATACCTTGTTTTTATTGCACTTGGCTTTATTGTGCTTCAGATGCAATTGTACAATTTTAGATATTGTGCTACAGATTTTTTTTAAATAAATTGAAGTTTTGTGGCAACCCTGCATCAACCAAGAAGTTTGGTGCCATTTTTCCAACAGCATGTGCTCAGTTTGTGTCTTTTGTCACATTTTGAAATTCTCACAATATTTCAAATGTTTTTATTATTGTGATAGTTGTTATGTTAATCTGTGATCAGTGATCTTTGATGTTACTATTATAATTGCTTTTGGTAGCCATGAACCACATACCACATCCAAATAAAACAGGGAATTTAAATGATAAATGTGTGTGTTCTGACTGTTCCACTGACCTGCCATTCCTCCATCTCCCTCTCCCTCCTCCAGCCTCTGTATTCCCTGAGAAAGCAGTATTGAAAGTAGGCTAATTAATAACTTTACAATGACCACTAAGTGTTTAAGCAAATGGAAAAGTCGTATGTCTCAGTTTAAATCCAAAGATAGAAATGATTAAGCTTAGTGAGCAAGGCATGACAACAGCCAAGATAAGCTTGAAAGCTAGGCCTCCTGCACCAAAAAATTAACCAAATTGTGAATGCAAAGGCAAAAGTCTTGAAGAAAATCAAAATTGCTACTCCAATAAGCAAGTAGAATACATGAAGATAAGAAGAAAAACAGCCTTATTGCTGATATGGAGAAAGTTTTAATGGCCAGGACAGAAGATCAAACTAGCCACAACATTGTTTTAAGAGAAAGCCTATTCCAGAGCAAGACCCTAACTCTTTTCAATTCTATGAAGGCTAAGACAGGTGAGGAAGCTGCAAAAGTTTTAAGCTCACAGAAGTATGCTCATAGGTTTAAGGAAAGAAGCCATCTCCATAATATGAAAGTGCAATATGAAGCAGCAAGTGCTTAGGTAGATGCTGCAGCAAGTTATCCAGAACCATCTAGTTAAGATAATTGATGAAGGTGACTACTGTAAACAACAAATTTTCAATGTAGATAAAACCACTTGACATTGGAAGAAGATGGCTCCTAGGAGTTTCATATCTAGAGAAAAGTCTGTGCCTGTCTTCAAAGCTTCAAAGGACGTGCTGCCTTTCTCAAAATACAGGCTGACCTTCTCTGAAGCCTAGCTTCAAAGGCTAGGGCCGATGTAGCCGGTGACTTTGAGTTGAAGTCAATGGTCATTTGCCATTTCAAAATTTCTAGGGCCTTAAGAATTATGCTGAATTTACTCTGCATGTGCCCTAAATGAACAACAAAGCCTGGGTGAGAACACATCTGTTTACAGCATGGTTTACTGAATATTTTAAGCCCATTGTTGAGAACTGCTGCTCAAAAGATTCCTTTCAAGATATTTCTGCTCATTGACAATGAACTTGATTATCCAAGAGTTCTAATGGGAGCATACAAGGAAATCAGTGTTTTCAATTCTGCTAATGCAATATCCGTTCTGTAGTCCATGGATCCAAAAGTAATTTCAACTTTCAAAATCTTATTATTTTTAGATATATATGTCATAAGGCTACAGCTGCCATAGACATTGATTTCTCTGATGGATCTGGGCCAAGTATATTGAAAGCCTTCTGGAAAGAATTCACCATTCTAAATGCCAGTAAAAACATTTGTAATTCATGAGAGGAGGTCAAAATAGCAACGTTATCAGGAGTCTGGAAGAAGTTGATTCCAACCCTCATATATGCCTTTGAGGGGTTCAGGATATCGGTGGAGGAAGTCACTGCAGATGTAGTGAAAATAGCAAGGAAACTTGAACTAGAAGTGGAGGTTGAAGCTGTGATTCAGTTGCTGTGATCTCATGATAAAACTTGGGTAGATGAGGAGTTGTTTCTTATGAATGAGCAAAGAAAGCAGTTTTTTGAGATGGAGTCTACTTTTGGTGAAGATTCTGGAAACATTGTTGAAATGGCAAATGATTTAGAATATTACATGTACTTAGTTGATCAAGCAACTGCAGAGTTTGAGAAGACTGACCACAATTTTGAAAGAAGTTCTACTGTAGATGAAATGGCTGTCAAACAGCATTGCATACTACAGAAAAATCTTTCATCAAAGGAAGAGTCCATCGATGCAGCAAATTTCATCCTTGTCTTATGCAGAGAAATTGCCACAGCCACTCCAAGCCTCAGTAGCCACTACAACCCTCAGAAGCCACTACCCTAATCAGTCAGCAGCCATGAACATTGAGGCAAGACACTCCACCAGCAAAATGATTTTGACTCACTACAGGCTGAGAATAAAAGGATTAGATGGTCGTTAGCAGATTTCTCATTTTTTAAGCTATAAAATACCCGAGATCGAGATATTTTAATTAAGGTATGTACTTTTAAAGCCCCAATGTTATTACACACTTAATAAACTACAATATAGGGCCGGGCGCGGTGGCTCAAGCCTGTAATCCCAGCACTTTGGGAGGCCGAGGCGGGTGGATCACGAGGTCAAGAGATCGAGACCATCCTGGTCAACATGGTGAAACCCCGTCTCTACTAAAAATTACAAAAAATTAGCTGGGCATGGTGGCGCGTGCCTGTAATCCCAGCTACTCGGGAGGCTGAGGCAGGAGAATTGCCTGAACCCAGGGGGCGGAGGTTGCGGTGAGCCGAGATTGCGCCATTGCACTCTAGCCTGGGTAACAAGAGCGAAACTCCGTCTCAAAAAAAAAAATAAATAAAAATAAACTACAATATAGTATACACATAACTTTTATGCACACTGGAAAACCAAAATAAAGAGGTTACATACTTTATTGTGATATTTGCTTTATTTGGTGGTCTGAAACCAAACCTGCAGTTTCTCCAAGGTGTAATGTATCTCTTTATGTGTAATTATGCAATTCTACTTTGCTGATTTTGTTCTTTAGTCCTTATACACCTTTAATAGTTTTTCGTTCTACTTGGTTTTGTTGTGTTGCTGAACTATGCTCAGTATAGGTTTGATTTATCCAGTTAGGGATTGTGAACATGTTTTCTTCTTTTTATAAAAGAGTTCAGCCTGTTATTTTGTTTAATTTTACTTTAGTTTTTTTATTTTTAATTATGGACATGATGTGTGCATAAATAGATGTCAATAGATAGATAGATATAGATAGATAGATAGATAGATAGATGATAGATAGATAGATAGATAGATAGATAGTGATATAGTTTGGGTATTTGTCCCTACTCAAATCTCAGGTTGAATTTTAATCCCCAATGCTGGAAGTAGGGTCTGGTAGGAAGTGTTTGGATCTCGGAGGAGGATTCCTTATGACTTTGTGCTGTCTTCATAGTAGTGAGTTTACACAAGATCTGGTCATTTTAAAATGTGCAGCACCTCACCCTTCACACTCTCTCACCTCTCTCTCTCTCTCTCTCTCTCTCTGTTGTTTGCTCCTGCTTTCACCATGTGACATGCCTATTCCCCCTTTACCTTCTGCCATGATTGAAAGTTTCCTAAGGCCAGGTGCGGTGGCTCAGCCTGTAATCCCAGCACTTTGGGGGGCTGAGGCGGATGGATCACGAGGTCAAGAGATAGAGACCATCCTGGTCAACATGGTGAAACCCCGTCTCTACTAAAAATACAAAAAA